AAAACAAAACAAAAATACAAAAATATTTCGCTTTAAGAGGGTTAGGCCTACCCTAAAATTAAGGAACGCTCGACCTCGACACGTGATATCGAAATGGGCGAAATCGCCTCTTGATATCACTAACTCTCCTGGTCATTTTAAGTTCACTCACATTTACATGAGTGTCAACAGAGAAGGGAATTACCTGATCTCGTCGAGGAAGATGTCACTCAGTGGCTCGTACAAGGTTTCGTTGAAGGCCAACTCACACATCAGCATCTGCTTGCACTGCTCGTTGGGAATGTTCAGGTTTTCGAAGAAGAAATCCAGCTTCTGGAGTCGTTTGGCGATTTCCTCGGCATCGGGATCTGGTAGCGGTGATATCGTGGGGGGAGGTTTTGGTAATTGAGGGCGCTCCACGGGTATCACCGGTGCAGGCGAGGGTCGAGATGTGACCGTCTGAGTTGGACCGTGTGGAACCAGATAGCTGGGCCTGTCGAATGGGATCAGGTAGGACGCAATCGGTCTCCCGTTGTTGTCTACTTGGGTCGTGAAGCCATGGGACGGTGAAGGCCGATTGCTCGAAAAACTCGTTGAGGGTGGCTTGCTACTACTCGAGGAGCTAGAATCGAAACTTGACGGTGGCCTGCTGACGCTCAAGATGCCGGAATCGACACTCGACTGCGGCCTGTTGACGCTCAAGATGCCGGAATCGACATTCGACGGTGGCCTGCTGACGCTCAAGACGCCGGTATCGAAAATCGACGGTGGCCTGCTGTTGCTCAAGATGCTGGAATCGAAACTCGATGGCGGCCTGCTGATGCCGATGCCAAAGGCGTTTGAGTCGATACTCGGTGGGGGCCTAATGTTGCTGATGTCGAAACTGGACGGGATGTCGTCGAAGGAATTGGAGCCAAGCGTGGAAGTTGGTCTGGAGTCGAAGCTTGACGAGGAGGGTCTGGTAGTGAAGAACGATGGTCGGGCGTCATAAGGACGATCGTAGGAGTGAAACGGGGGCTTGCTTGGCCTTTCTAGATAGGAGCTAGGCCTGATGAAAACGGATGAGGTTGGACGGGAATATGTGGACAACGGTCGGCTGCTCCCTTGGAATCGTCTCGCGTACTCCTCCATATTCATCAGTGCAGCTGTCAAACACCAACAGGATTTCATCCAACAAGTAGGAGATTGTAAACTATGGTTTACCAGAAGATCATTTTCCATCACCGGTGTTAAATTAAAGGCTCAGAATTTATTTTTCAATCGAAAATTGCACAGTATATGAAATCGTGTGTACAGTGGTCAGTGATTTGCTGATGAGAATTTCGAGCTTACTGGATCCGCTTGGACATGATTTTAGGACACTAGCCCGCGAACCCAGATCTTTTCCCGCTGCTTTTAGCTAGGAACCGGGTTTAGGCGATTACTCGGCTTAATGAGTCTTTCACAGTTCTTGTTTGAAATCTGGTAAAAAATAAAAAATAAAAATAAAAATAAAAATCTATGAACCGTCGATAATTTTGAAAATGAGACCTGTCTGAAGCCCCTACGGAAGAAACCCGTCGAAGGTATCACCTTGGAACACAAAAACACAATGGTTGGCCTACAAGTGTTCATCGTGATGACTAACCAGTCTCATCAAAAATCTTGGTTGCGCTGAGTTCCTCCTGCAATACTCTCATTAGTTGGTTGAAGACTTCTTCCTTCGACGATCCCCGAACCTCGGATGATGTTACGTTCATCTCCCTCTCTTTCTCCTCTTTCCCTTCTGCTTTGTTCTCCCCGGATCCTTCGCCAATCTTCTCTTCGTCGGGGACTTGAGCCACTCGGTCTATCTGCGCCTGGCGAGTCTGAGTTTGTCCCTCATCTGCCTTTGTTGTCTGTGGCGACTCCCTGCCTCCGGCTCCCACTTCTTCCTCCACTTTCTCTTCGTTGTTTTTAATCGCAATCTCAGGATTCTTTTTCATCTCTTCTTTCGGAGATGTGGTTCCTTTTTCCCAGCCTTCAGCGATCCGCTTTTTCTCCCGGAGCCGATCTCGTTCTCGCTTCCTTTCGTCCGGCTGTTTCTGATTCTGACTGAGCCTGAATAGTCATAAAATGGGGGAAAATGAAGAGGGGAAAGTGGATTCAAAGTATTATACTGGATGGCACTTCATGCGTGCATCGGTCTCCCTTTCGTGTTCACGATGCATGGAAAAAAGGTCGCAGAATAAAAGGCGTGCCTCTGACTCGTCGTAAGTCAGAGAAAGAACGAGCCTCAGCGACGATGTGGCTAACCTTTTGGCATGTCGTTTGTATCGTGGACTGCCGAGACGGCGAGAGCGAGTATCACCAGGCCAGTCTTCGACCGTCTCGGCGTCCGACTGGTCCGAGTCCGAGTTCCCTCCTCCGCCGAAACTCTGGTAGCCAACAGTGACAGGAACGAATAGTCGGAAATTGAACCTCATGTCTCCTCCTGGGGTGAACGGCAGGAAAGCGAACGTCCTTTCCGCCATCTTGTCCAGGAACCTCCATAGGAAACACCGAAGACACCAAGGTTATTGGAAATTTTAAGGAAATTTCATGAATTGTGGAACTCCATACCAAGTTAAAGCTATCAGCGGAATATTTTCCAAGTGGCAAAGGGATTGGGTGAACGGTATGACGTGAATGCGTTTCCACATCTGGGCTGACGTGGATTCAATTCACTTTTCAATGGGACGCAGTCGCATTTGATATCTTTATGCAAGGGAGCAAAGGAAACCACACGAGAAGTGAGACCAGTTATTATCGGAACATGTTGAGTTCACTGAACTGTCTTTGAATGAAGAAAGTTTTAATAACACGTTCGCTAGTTACGTAGATACCATTCTGGTGAATTATGTTAATACAACGCCTTCCCGTAAATGGTGCGTGATAGACGAGGAGTAGGGCGTTTCTTAGAAAACCAATCTTACGACCGATCCGTTTCGCAGAGAACTCAATTCACAGAATCTGAGGGTTTAACCAAAGGGACTCGTTTCGCAGAAAATCGTTTCTCAGATAGAATCTGTTAACACTAGCCGAGCTGAAGGTCTACGTGCAGATCTGACAGCTTCGATACTTCACACTCGGCTGAGTGCAGCTGCGGTTGAGCCTGTCGTGTAGCATTCGTACCATCGTTAATGGAACTTGCGGCTTCCAGGTTTTACTAGCATCCATGGTCATGCATTCAATGCAAACGAGAGAGAAAAGAAAGGAAAAATGGCGCTGTATTTACGGAAAGTGCTGAATTAAATGAATGAGAATCCAATTGTGGAACCATGCCTGCTGATTTCTTTACGGAAATAAGAAACTAGGTTTTATGCCGTTACGTTTTCGAAGTTCTTACTCCGGCAGGAAAGGCCTTGTCTTCTCGGTCTTCTCTACAGGCCTAGGGTGGATTTTTGAACAGAGAACTATCCGATAATGCAGCTTTATTTACCGGATTTATAATGCATTTTCTCTGAAATATAGCTGCATAATCGGATAGTTCTCTGCTCAAGAATCCACCCCTAGTTGTTTAGGCCCACTCTGCATTGGGAAATGTTCTAGAATGGTGCAGTGAAAATATGGTGGAGGTAACTATCATGACATTGCCCTCTTTGATACGATTTTTTTCTTGATCGATTGATGATGGTTCTGGAAGTGAGAAACCTAATACTCAAGGCACCACCTATGCTTCACTTACCCAAATGTGATGTCTTGAAGCCGTCAGTATGAGAATTCGTAGAGCGGGGCTTGCATTCGTTAAAACGTTACCTAAGTAACTTTTATTCTGCAAATGGTCCCAATTCTGCGAAAGGGGCTTGTCCGCGAATCGATTTCCTGCTAAACGACTCCTACCCGACAGATGTGATTCTGAGTTGTTTCATTAGAAGCCTGTTTTTTTTTATAAATATTATTTATGCAAAGAAGGTTGCATGAAGGTTCGCTAAAAGTAAAAACAAAAAAAGTACTTCAAGAAAAACAGGTATTGTGGTGGGTATAAATCATTCGTCTCCCATTTCGCGCAGAGGAAAACAAAATACAATAAATGAATTTTGGTTCTGTAAAATTATAGGGTGATGAAACGACCAAGTCATGAAGACTAGGTGTACGCAACGGCCAATAACCCCTCCAAAAATGAGTGAGTGCGGATGGCAAGTGACCCCTCTTGATGACTCACCCTCTTCCTTGTCGATTTTCTTCAACCATTGGTTTTGGAAGCTCCACAGTGTTATAATCTCCGATAATGAACTCAGACAACACCAGAAATCCCGGGAAAACCACATGAAACACACTGATCACAGTCAAGAGGGACTTCATCACACCCATCGACGTCGTCGTCATTCTGGAAGTGTCCACGGCTTGGTCATGCGGGGAAAATGAATGAAATAAATATATAAGGTGTGCACTTGATGAAAGTCTGGAGGATATTGGGGCTGAGCTCGACGGTCTCTCTGGGAATGAAAGACTTTGTACGATGCTTTCTTCTTTTTAATTTTCGCTTGGATGCTTCCCCGGACTCAATGCTCGTCTCCGTGTCATTATTTCCGGATGATTCCGTTACGGACGCGATTAAAGAAACGGCTCTTTCTGTCGTAATGCAATCGAGTGCAAAGGAAAAACAATACATAATCCGCCTTTCTTCATCGTATTACAGGAATCATCATATCGTTATTGGAAAGTCGTTGTCAGAGTTACGAAATCTGGAAATTGCGAGCTGGAGTACGCTAAACATACCCATGTGATGACGCAAGGACACCAGAAAAAAAATCCCTGTGGAAAACACGAAGACTCGCAAGCAAGTATGGAAAGGAGAGATCACGAGATGAGCAAGAGAAAGAGAAGTAGAATGACTGAGAAGTGAGAAAGGGAGAAGAGGCGAAGTGTCGGTTCGTCGACCAACCAATTCAAGGGCGGCGGTCCCCACCACGATATGGAGAGCAGAACGGAGCGCAAGCGAATCCCAGTCGCCCAGCTTCTCCGACTCACCGAAGAAACGATGTCATCGTGACGAATTTTTCTCGTGTGCATGAACCATGCATTCTCAAGTTAGCAATCCCAGCAAAAGTACAATGGGTCTTTAATGACACTTAACTCTGTACGCCCGCAAATCGTCCGTCTCGCTCTGTCTCTCCAAATCGGCAATCTTCGTCGTATGACCAAAATGAAGCATTCTTGCTGGCAGGTGAAGGATGCTCCGTGGCATCACTTCCGCCTTTAGGGGAGAAGAAAAAGGGCATCGTAGCGTCTACTCACTAATTATCCAGTCTAATAGGACCAATTTGTTCCACTCAAATTTCCTGTCCTTATCTGCTTTTGGCTCATCCTATCTGCGAAAATAGGTATTAAAAATGTAGTTTCATATCTATTTTAACAATTACATTTTTTTTTACTTAAATCGGAGCATTAGTGACTAGCATTCGCAGTTGCCCTAGTGGTGCGTGCATACTAAATGGGGTGCAGTGAGATCTAAGACGGATCAATCGTAGTGTATCTGTACATATTGCGGGCGGTGTGACATTGAATTAAATTGGTTTTATTTTAGCTCCCATTTCTCTACAGTTGCTGAGGAATACGGAACGAAAATAAACTCTCTCAGAGATGTAGGGAGAGAGAAATGTTTTCACAACGCTTACCTTCTTTAGCACGGTGATTGAGATACAATTCAAAGGGCGAGACGAGAGGTTAGCAAAAGTGAGAAGCAATCCGTTTTATTTGGTGAGTTTTTCTTATGAGTCACATCCAGCCCTACAAAAAAAGGTCGATAGATTTACATAATGAGTGCATGGATCCTGGTCACCGTTCCAAGCTACTATTCGATGTTGCTTTGGCACATCCTCTTAAGGATTGAAGCGAAAGATTGAAACTGATGACTGAAGAGATGCGATGTGGAAGCTTGGATCGCTCATCTTCGGGTCGCGTCCAATGGCATAATGGTACCGCTTTCTATAGGCATGCACCCTAAGAAAGGCATGCCTTGCCTCGAATTTCTACCGAGACGGTTCAGAGGAACGAGGAAGTAGAAAGCAGACGGTGATGTTGCTCGGAAGGCATCGTCTGGGGCTGAGTGCAGTGGGGAAGATTCTGGAGCAGCATAACTGCATGGGGTGGCGGATGCATGCTCCGTCGAGACTCACGGCAAATATCACTTTCTCTTCAACCTTATTCTTTCACTTCGTCATTCTTGGTCTCACTCTCTCGCTTCAGAGCAGCCTTTCTTGAAATCCTTCTCGAGCGTCATAATGGCTCTTCGTGGGAATTGCTACTCTTCTTGTCTTTTGCCTGTCGTGTATTTCGTGGAAGCAGCATGACATGCGAGTGATCCTTGCATCTTCAACCCACCCTCTGAATCCAATCAAATCAGAGCTCCCTTATGTCCAACTAAATTAAAATCTCATAATCGAGTCTTAATCCGACTGGACTCGAGCCTCCTCTCTATATCTGCTCTGCTGATTTGTCATTACGAAAATTGAATGCACTAAGCCTTCCTCAAAGCCATCTCAAACAAGGGTGAACAATACATTGTATTCAACTGTCCTCTTTGTCCTGTGCTCCTTTTGTCTGTGCGAATCCCTTTCCTAGGTTTTACAGTTTCTCGGGATCAAAGGAACCAGTCTTCAAATGGTAGGACTTTCCCTCCGGAAATTGTGGCAACAGTGGTAAACTCGAGGCATATCTCATGCAAGACAATTTTTTCCACCTTCACTCCAGGTCTACTGGGTAAGGAGAGGAAGGGAAAGATTTGTAGCGTGATTTCCGTTTCAAGCATGAGAGATAAGAAAATACTTCACCTTTCTTTACCTGCCCTATTTCACTGGCGCCGAATGTAAGTTAAATCTGACCATTTTCTTGAGTGCCAAAGAACTCATTCCGTATTTCTTTCATGCTGGCTCTATCCTATTAATGTCAACAATACGCACACAGCACTGGAGAACGCCCATTGCCTGATAGTTTCAGCATATTCACAATTGGCATGGATGCTCTTAATATGAAGTCATGTCTCCTTAACCATTTCCGTGCTTGTGCCCGTCCCAATCTTGCACAACCTATCGCTTCTCGCCGCTTTGATAGAGCCATCGTAGGACCTACCTTGTTTCTAACTCCGTCTGGATTGTGCTGTGTTTACAGTACTGTCCAAGGTTTTCTCTTTTTTTTCCTAAAGCATACCGACATTCATGTGAAAACTTGACTTCCTCTCAGGAATTCCAAGACGCCATCCTACCCAATCGCTTCATGTTGATTTTAGTGGGACGGCTCGTCAGTTTCGTCGGGATGTTTGAAAATTATCACTCTTGGCGCAATGGTATCCCGCCAAGGCTAATTATTTTTATGCCCACCGTATATGTACGTCGAAAAGGCATCAGAGTTAATCCCATACCCTTGAATTAGTCCCCAGTTTCCCTCAAAGCACATGGTCGTACTTTTCGAGGTGCACAAAGTGCATGCAAACCTCTTTGCACACTCCAAATGCTTCTCGAGAATCTGGTGAGCTGAAGACGAATTTATTCTCCAATCTATCGCTGTACACATGCGCAGAAAAGGTAGATTTTCGATTACAAAGTAAAAAATTTATCAAGTCAAGCATGAGGAAGATGA